CATCCTAAACGTACATGATATCGTGAACTACATAGCATTTGCGAAACTTCTTTTCTTTATAACTTTTTAATAAACAACGAGCGCCGGCTAAATCCTTCTGAGCGTTACTCAGGAGGGTAACCTTGACAACATATGTCAAGCCCAAGGTTATTGGAGGTGGGTGTGTTAATCTAAATAATTACCCAGATTTTTATTAACATCTGAATTGTTTTGCAATATTTTTAATGATATAGATTTTACCCAGGCTTTTGTGTTATTGTATAATGCTCATCATTTTTAATGTGCAAAATAGAATTTAAATCAAAACGTGTGTTCTTTACATTTTTTTTTCAACGAAAGCATTTTCTTACATTTACAGAATTGTCAATTGTCACTCAGAACATCAAACTCGTCTTCCAATAAATCGATTATTTGCAATTCCTTTACATTAATTCTTTTTCGCTTGACACGTAGTCGCAATAGCCTTTACTCCGCTGTCCATAATTTTCCTCTTTGTTATAATTACTTTGACACTTTTTAAATTTCCTTGATTGTTTAAAATGTCAAACTGTGAAATAAAATTGCAGAAATGTCACGATTTTTGTGTGTCGTTTCTATGTGCAATAATTAAAGGAATAATTTTAACCCAAAGTTTCTAACAAGGATCACAGGAGAGATCTTAGACCATACACTGGACCGTATATTTCTGACTGGGGGTGTTACCAAGTTGCAGTACGTGCGATAGAGAAATCTAGTTAAGAAACCCGTAATAACTTAAAATTTGCAATTAAGTAACATACGTTTGTACACATAAAGTTGTGGCAAAATCTTTCAGAAATGACAATTTAACTGACAACAAATTAATAAAAATTCGTACGGCTCGAATGTGATAATCGCAAATTTGAAGGATTAAAAGACTGAGGAGCCGTAACAGGATGTTAGTGTTCAAATATTTCATATTTTAAATTTATTGCGAAAAGTATTACCTCAGCCAGGGTTTGAACCTGAATCCTCCCTTTCACTAGACGGGCGTCTCAACTAATTCGACCACCAAAGATTGAGAATTTGAGACGCCCGCCTGGCTGAGGTAATATTTTTCGCAACAAATTTAAAATATAAAATATTTAGACACTAACACCCTGTCACAGCTCTTAGTCCTTTATTCCTTCACATTTAAGTAACAACAATTTTCGTCTTACTCATTTTCTCCACCAAATGACTAAACAAAGTTAATTGTTATCACAATACTAAAGGGTCCGCAAAATGTATATTAATGATCGGTGAATAAAGTAATTATAAATATTAAGTATAGAATTTTCAATTCTAGATACTTCATATTTCGTAGGCGAGATATCGAACTCTTCACGTTCGTTTTGTTAGTTTGACACTTTAAAAACTTGGGTTTTTTCCCATGCGGTGTGCAACATTCCGCGCGTCATTTTGTATCTGCGTGTGAAGGTCGCTACACTATTATTCGCTCGCCGAGCAACCGAGATTCGAACTGGCCGGCAGCATCGAGAGATGCTCTGTGCATCGTATGTACACTATATAAATTGTAATGAATACACAACCATGTGACTACAATGGCGAGATAATTATGAATAGGTAAAAGAGGAAACTGAAAATTTCAAGGACAGTAGGAGCAAGCTGAAGAATGAAAAATAGAGGAGATAAAAGTTGATAATAGAAGGAATAAAAAGTTCAAGGAAAAATGACGTTTTCAATTTTACCTCGTGTACGCAACATTTCTATTGGTACTCGCAAACATTTGGCATTCTGGTTAAACGAAATTTTATTCCTATTCTCTTTCTCGACTTCTCTTTCCCAGTCTTTATCCATATTTTAATGGTGCAATACATCAGCTTTCACAAATGCCTCGGCATGAAATTCTTATATTGGAAATGACTTTTATGCATACTTGGATATGTCTAGTATAATATTTCTCTCTCTCTCTCTCTCTCTCTCATCCGTCATATCCGAGAAAACTATCGTAAAATTTTATGAGTCTCACGCATTTTACAAATCGTATCTTATCACGTATAAAGGATATGCACTCATGTATTAAACTCTGTGTCACCTGTGTGACACGGAACGTATATAATAGACGAATGATGTACAATGCCTCTGATACATGTAATAAGTCAACATTTTTTCTGTACGCATATTCTTGTAAAGCACATTCTGCAGCATATTGCGGAATCAGAACATTTACGCGTGCGCCCGCGGTAAAAGAACGTGGCGTATCATCGTGACAAAGATAATAAAAATCTAATCTGACTTTGTTCTACGTGACAAAGTGTGATCTGTATTTTAGGCGCGGAGTCGTCATCTCTACGAATCGGTAATTGTTTAACAAATGATACAGGATACGAAAAGTGACTCCCTAAACTGTAAAACAAACTTGATTTGTCTCATAAAATATAGTCTTTGTTAATTCGCTTCGTAAAAAGGCGAGAAAATTGTTTGATTTTCATTGATCTGATCACTTAAAGTGATGCTTCTAACGCTTAATTTACGTAATTTCAAGCACGTGGAAGAAAATAAAACCCAGAAGGAATAGTTATGCTATTACCACATAGTTCTCCGAGAACGAAGCAATTCCCATCTTAAATATCTTTTCACATAATAACTACATAATTATTAGTTAAAGACTAATTGTAAGAAAGAATTTGAAAGGCAATGTTTTTATCTTTTCAACTGTATGCATGAATTAAGACGGAAACAGTTATTAGTTGGCAAAATTCGTCTCTGTATATCATTTAAACGATACGAAAGTATCAATCAGCACATTGTACAACCATGAAGGGAGGTATCTCTGTATCGCTTTCTTTGTATCGTGAGATCTGCGCGTTGACGTAATTCATATTCGTGAGATATACCGATATACGAGCTGTGTGTGTTTCAGACGTGACATTAATCGATTTCCCAGATTTCCAAATGAAGATTCTAATAACAAAGTGTTAAAGCTATACTTAATATCAATATATTTATTAAAAATGTTGTACTATTTAGTAATTGGACCGGATTTATTATACATATAAATAATAATATAATATGACATCATTATATGCACAAACCAGTTAGCTACATGCTTCATTACGTGTTCGTTAATGAATGTCTCAATGTCATGACTGCTTATATGAATAACGAGAAGCAACAGCAGTTTATATAAGTAACGTAATATTGCATAAATTAGTGCATTTATTATTTATCTTGCTTTTTTTTACTCTGTTACTTCTTAATTGGATGGCATAATATAGTTTCTGTCGTAACATAAGTTTATTTGTTTTATTTGCACTTTATATTTACTTGAATTTTGAATCGTTTCTCTTCTTCCAATGTCTAAATACATAATCCATTTGTTTTCGGATGCAGAAAATGCTAAGGAATATGAGTAAAAAAATTAATTTATAGATAACAAAACATTTCGACTGTCATTCCATATAATAAATTGTCTTTGGAAATAATAATGAAAGCCAAAGTATACGAATAGACATAAATAATTAAATTGTTTCCGACAGAAATTAATCGGAAAATATTATTAATTTATTGTCGGCATTTCCGTGTCCACTTCTCGAGAGCATAAAATGTTACATAAGTATTTATAAACATATACGGATGTAATCTGATCTCCTAAGAGATAAGCAGCGTATGCAGAAGAAAAATATCAGCGTGCAAATGATCGGAAGTCTTGGAAAATAGAGATTTTCTAATTAGAGATTTATTCTTCTACCCCTCAGGTGATCCCCTCAGGTAATCAGGAAGCAATTACGAGAGGCATGCGAGCGGAAAAAGGGATATAAATTCTTGATACAAATTACTCACGTCTCGAAACTTCTTTCTCGCTTGTATGCTCATCATAATTATCTCGGGGAGAATAACTTACAATTAGATTGGATTTTAAATTAGAGATTGTCATTGTTCGAAAATTTCTCGGCTCAATTGTCTCTGTCTCAATACTTTCTACTCATACCGAGAAAGAAAGTATTGAAGAAGTATTTCTTGATTTAGCTATGTTTCGGCAGTCACGGGCTGTCAAGCAAATATTTGTTAATTCGCAAAAAGATTTGTTAATTCACAAATACATACGTTTCGATAAAGAGCGTATGTTTAACTTAAATCATGTACATACATTTGAAATAGAAATAGCTGCCAACTAAACATACGAGTATTTAATCATATCAACAGCTTGTTGTTTCAGTGCACATGCTCGCACTATATCTTCTGGAAATTTATTTCGGAATAACTTGTTGTTAGATTAGATTTCAAAATGGAGATTGCAAATTTTCTGGTTCGATCATTTGCGTCTGATATTTTTCACCTGTAGGCAATTATCCTCTATTGTCTCTTTGGGAAGTTACTCAGGCAGTAATTTTGATAAAATCCCAAATTAGGGATTGTCGTTTCTCATAAAGAAACAGGACGCAAAAATGTTAAGAAAAAAACTTAATAATTACCAGATTGATTTCTGAAAAATAATTAATCGTGCATTTCTATCTATGGATCTTTATCATTTTGCTTCAATCTCTTGCTTCTTTTAAATAATGAAATACTAATCTTTGCATGAAATGCATGATTTCCGTAACGATTTCTGTTGTATGGTACATAAAATTCGGCTTTACAACGTCTCTTTGAAGAAGAACAACAGGCGAACTTTCTATAAAAACAGAAAGAGAAAATACAATTTTAAATACAATTTCTGATTTCACGCAGAGGCTATGTAAAAATTAGAAAATTACACAATTGTATTACCTTTTTCAAGATTTCTTTTTGTCACATTCGCTGGATCCCAGCATACTCAAATGATGTCGTACCCAATAACGTGGTGGGGCTCCGCCACGACATCGAAAAAGTTGATGGGGAGGACGTTTCGCTTTCCACCGCAAATCCGCCTTAACTTCTCCCTATATAGACCAGTCTTGTCCCGGTCGTCGAATCTGGCAGACCAATATTAAACTTTATTGTCAAAGGAGAATCCGCTGACAAAACTCTAAAACGTTACGCTAACGTTTGCGCAAACGAAGTTAATAAATAGCACCTCTTTGATACGATTAGTCGAGATAATTCGTGTCCCCTTCATTTTGGTGGCGAAAATAATTCTAGATCATTAACGAAATTCGTTACATAAACAAAATCCAGTTTCACTCGTGTCTCTGAAATTGATTTCACGATCGGTGTCGGTATTCGCTACGATTCACAGTAACGGTAATTCAAAGTAACTGTGGCTTTCAGGTATTAAAACATGCATTATGTCGCGTCAGCGACTCACGGTTGTTTTGTACATCTGCCATTCGGCCGCATTATTTTGCGTATCTGCACAATTTCACGGATCTAACGAGAGTAACAATGGTATCCATTTATTGCCCGCCTATGCCATCGCCTCGAGAGCCGGTCTTCTCGGTTCGGCAACATGTGGGATGGAGCTACGAGATTTTCGAGACGCTGTCGATCAACGAGTACTATGGGGCTTGAAGAGTGAGTAAAATGCATCATAATCGCACTAATAAACTAAAATTTGGAAAACTAAAACGAACAGTTCGTAGCGTTTACTTTATGTTGAATTCTTTCATTACGTACACTCAGCCTTTCCATATGAATTTGTGCACATATCAACACATTTATACATTTTGCATATACATACATGGAAAATGTATATACGTTCTATATATGCCTAAATTTATATGGGAAGGCATCAGCGATGCCTCGTGTACATTTACGAATCGTTAAAGAGTTACAGAGGCTGAAATGATTCTGTAGCTTTTTATCTTTGTTTGTAAAAAATTAACAGAATTAGGTCGTCGTTAATTTACTTGATATTTACGAAGGCTCATATATAAATCAAGGTAACTAGCAATTATTTCGTTTGCGACATCTGTTATATTTGTAAAACTATCGATTTAAACTCATAGACTTTATAATTGAAGATTTCAGAATTTTACAGTATATTATAATTTACGGTATATAATTAACGCGTCCTTATGGCGAAATGTGAATTGGCCAAATAAGCTAACTTTTCCATTGCAAGCAAGCAATTTATTGGTCGAGCTCATCGATTTAAAAGGATTGATTCTGCAAAAGGATGGCTTACTTTCGGAATAACTTATGGCCGGTTTTCAACATTATCATTTGAATACTTTCTAAAAATCAATTAGCCAATCATCGCTGAAAACAGTGAATAGTCACTAATTCACAATTATAAGTACACCATCGAAAATCGTAGTGGTATACTTGTAACTGCGAATCAATGAGCATTCACTGTTTTCACTGATAATCTACTGAATAACTTTTAGAGAGTAGAGTCGATACAAAGAGCTGTTTTGTATCGACTCTTTTAATGCTTAATTGCAAATTCTTCAGTCCCCTTAAAACGCAATCGCGTGCCACAAAACACGACGCACGGTAGATATTTCATTACCAAAATTAGCGCTTGTCATATCGGGTTGGCTGGTCTTTGTTACTCGTCTAAATGTTCTTTTCCTCTCGACTAGAGAATAGCCAGTCTAGGGCGTGTGAGTCGCATTCCGAACGTAATTCGTTTATTCATACCTTATGCAACTTATTCTACATAAGTGTATTACCGTGGCGATTGTGTCGCACGCGTAACTTTCGGTTAGAACACTTAGCCGAATCAACTTTCTTCGTGTTACACAAGGAACAAGTTTCGCAGCCGCATGTGCACGAGAGAAAAGCGCCGCCTGTTACGCGTGCAATACCGCATGATTTTCTCTCATTTTATTTCGAGGATCTCGCGCTGTATCTCGCGGGCTGTGGCACGCGCCGCATATCGCGGTGTGCCCGTAACATTATAGACAACGTTATAGCTGAACGTCATAAAGAGTACATACTCTCTTCGGTACACAACGTATCCAACAGACATACTCGTGTGTGCCTCGAGTTTTGAATATTTTTCAGCACTGTCATGTTTATTCACGATAGAAGCGATCTGAGTGAAAGTTAGTACAAATTAACACGTCATCCTTCGTAGTTAGTATTACTTTAGTTATAGGGCGCCATGGCATTGCCAAATACCACCAGCAAACAACAGGTTTTTCACTTCTTCCAAAAATATAAAAATTATCTTCGTGCACCCAGCGAAGTCACTGCAGCAACGAGACAACTTGACTGGTGTCGTATTTTCGTAATGCATTTTATTTATTTAAATTATTTACGTTTTTTGACATTTAACATAGCTGTCTCCGCGGCACTAGCAAATAAAAAAGTCTGCGCTAAGTTTAATTAACAAAAATGTACTTATTATTATTACGATGTCTCATAATTGTTGCTAACATTTTTCCTACAGCTTTTTTCCGTAAAGTGCATAATCGTATACGCACAATAATTATTGAAACTAATAAAGCAAATGACGAAAATGTTCGAGAAATCTGGACAATGCAACCCAAGGAGCGTTAATGCGCGAATAATGTGTTAAATGTACATTTCAATTCGCATTTAATGCACGTCTTCGTCCTGGATTAATGCGCACTTAACGTATATTGTTGGCAGCGCATTCCAAAAAACTATACCATTGACCTCCCATGCATAATTTTTCATGCATAAGCATGTATAAATATAGAAAATTATATAAAATTATACAATCTCAAATATGCCTAAACATTTTCGTGCATTTTGAACACACAATTAATGTTGTTTCGATGCCAATGCAATAAAAGCACGTTATATACGCATTGGCGCTCCTTAGGCATCTAAAAGTCATCTTTTGCAATTAGCGATCCTGCTTCTAGCAATTAATGAAAGTCTCGGAGATTAACTGATTGTGAGACTGAAATGTTATTAAATATTTCTGCGTGAGTAACAATTTAATTTTTGTATTTTTGTCTTCAAGCATTGGATTCTAGTGGCGGCCCGAAATCGGGTTTCCTCTATGGAAATAATTTTTGGCTGGGCAGTCGTAGTCAGTGCCTAGATACGACAAACAGGACCCCATTTGAAATCGCAAAACGGCGTATATTAAATAACACGCACTATCGCGATCCGCGAAATGAATTTCCACCCTTCGAGGTGAATTACTTCGTCGCTCACCTCAGACACAACAGTACTCTTCAGTACCACCTCGGTATGCAAGACGAAGTAAGTTTGTTCTTCGTGCGATTAGAATACATCGCATTTCAAATCAATAGCTTCACCGTAGATTTCTTAAATTTTATCTTAAGATAAGTTGCAGCAACAATGTATGTCGATCTTAAATCGGTTTCTATTACGATCTAGATAAATCTTGTTACTTTGAAATTAATGCGAGAAAATTGAAGTAATTTTATCGTTAGACCATTATTAAGAACATTATCAGGCCTAAATATGTTATAAACGCAACTTAGTCATATATATGGCATATAATAAATTCTTAAAAGAGAAAGTTACAGTTAAATGAGAGAGAGAGAAAGAGAGAGAGAGAGAGAGAGAGAGAGAGAGAGAGAGAGAGAGAGAGAGCGCATACAGGCTCGTTCGAGCACATGCGAGCGATATTTCTTGACGAAATCTTTTTGATAAACGAATATTGAACTTTTTAAACGTAAAATTATAAAAATATCCAAATATTAACGATTCCTATATTAAGATATGCTATATAGAAAATTTTTCTTAGAATGTCATTACGCTGGGCCTCTGCTTACCCGCGTCCTGCTCCGTGAATAATGTGAGCTTTGTTCTGGAACAAATATTTCGTGATAGAGTTTTCTTAATCAATGACCTCTATTCCATGGATCTCAGCCTGATCGAGGTAAAAGACTTAAAGGACGATCACCAATGGCTACTGAGTGGTGCGACACCTCTCATATGGTAAGTCGAAAAATGCGAAGACAGCAGCAAAAATTTACGGAAAGAATCATAATATAACATGTTGAATTCTCATGTACTTTCCGAGAGTCTGAGGAAACAATGGAAGAGATACTCTTATATATTAATTTTGTGGTTTCAGTATTGTTTTACTGCTTACTTTTTCCATGATGATAAGCGGCACAATATACGATATATTCATATACCAAAAGTATTTAAGAGCAAAGAGTAAAATTGCCGTCAGTAAGTATATGTGTAAAACTTCTTAAGCTTCTTCGACAGTAGATTCCCCTGTGATATTGAGCTTCCACCGTATTTCTCGTATTCCAAAAGAACATGACGCATTCACGCTCTGACCTCTGAAATTATCTAACTAATTTGGAATCAGTAATATTTTAATAAAATCCCGCAAAACGATATAGTTCTTTCTCGCATCCCGTGTCACTATTCGTCCCTATGGTGCAATACTTTTTCCTTCCAATTGTTTTCTCGTCCAATATCTTTGTTTTTACATTTAGATACTAGAAATTCTGAATTGTGATTTAGGTACAAAAACCCCGGCCAAGATGGAAATAATAGATTCCTCATCTCGATGTAAGGAAAACAAAATCGGGAGCATACTAATTTGTTTTTCCGTGTATACAAGTACGAAAATAATATTTCGCACGGACTTGGACGCCGAAGCGGTACCCGTTATTCACGGTATAAGATTTCTGAGCATGATTTGGATAATCATCGCCCATTCCATATTGTACACGTTGGATTATTTCGGTAAGTGTCTCGAAACATAAAAATTGTAAAACTGATTATTTGACGTAATTTCCACTTAATATCGTTTCACATACGTAGACAATAAAGTTTGGATATTGAGATTCGCCGAGGGTATCCCCATCCAAGTGATAAGCAACGCAACCATATCGGTCGATACCTATTTCTTTTTAAGCGGATTTTTATTGGCTTACATGTATCTGAAGAATAAAACGAACAAAGAACGGAATAAGTCGATTAATTACGGGGAGAAGCTAAAGGAGTTCTTTGGCTCCATAATAAGAAGATTTATCCGGTACGTTCTTCATTATCTTGATTCGCGCAGACAATAAACAAAGACGACGCTGTTAGCGTGATCAATGGTGCAGCAATAAAAGCCAACTAAGAGAACGCGTTAAAAAAAATTCAATTCAACGGCGAGCCAGACAATAGTGAATGTCCCTTTCACGTTTATTAAAGTTAAATTTAAAAATTCGTTTTAAGATTGACACCACCTTACATGATGATGATAGGAATATTGCAATTAAACTCGGCTTGGTACGACAAGACCTCGCAATTCTACATTAATGAGAGGCCGCACGAAACTTGCGCGAAATACTGGTGGAGGAATCTCTTGTACATAAATAATCTGTTCGATCACAATGCGATGGTACGAACGCCAATTTAATTACAATATCATATACCGACACGCTCGGAAGCGCGCACGTGAAAGATTTCGAATTCTGAATTATTGTATTTCCTTGCAGTGCATGTCCTGGAGTTGGTACCTAGCCAATGATATGCAATTCTTTGTAATCGGTATGGCGCTCCTGATTCTGTCGACTGTGTAAGTTAAACGACCGGAGTGTTACATATTTCTCAGGCATATAATTGAATAAATAAATATAAATTACCAATTTCAGATATTTTTACACGGCTGTCGTCCTACTAGGTTCGCTTCTAATTGGCTCGATTATTCTAGGCGGCTATATCTCATACATTTACGAACATGTTCCGACGTAAGTTGCATAGTCACCTAGTCGATCGTGAGATTAATGAAATAAATGAGCGTCCTTTTTGTTATTGCAGCTTGGACGAACAGTATAGACTTATCAATGTCTTATACTATCCGCCATGGCTTCGAATTGGTCCATACATTATTGGAATGATCACAGGTTACATTATAATAAGACTAAACAAGAAAATAGCTTGGAAAAGGGTAAAGTATTGCTCAAACTATTGTAGGTTTTTAGATAAGAGAGGTGGAATTATTTATAAATCAATCCATTTCGCGCTTTATAAATTAATATCGCCACAAGTAATGTAGAAAATCGTAATAAATGTATAATATATAACAATTATTTAAGCCAAATTCAAATTACACTTAATGTGCTAACATTTTGAACATAAATTTTAGAACACTGTAATTCTATGTTGGAGTCTCGGTGGCGCTTGCAACATTTTTGCATTATTCGGCCTTTACAAGCGACAGATATCCATTCTGTTTACTGCTATCTACGTTGGATTAAGCAGAACACTTTGGGCCATCGGGATAGCATGGATTGTAATAGTGTGCTCTACCAAACACGGAGGTTAGTTAATTTAATAATATATAGATAAATCGTATGTCATATCAGCATAAATAAATTATCATAATACATTTCAATAATTCGTAACTTACATTCCATTTAATCCTACTTTTTCAATTCACTTAATAAACATGTTTGTAATAGACAGTAGCAAAACGTAAAAAATAACTCTTATTGCCCCTTTTCATTTATTAGAGTAAAAAATGTTTTAATTTAAAAAAGATTTTTATCTTTGTCATCAAATACTTGATTTTCGTATAGGCATCATTAAGGAGCTGTTAACATGCAAAATCTGGATTCCTCTTAGCAGACTCACGTACTGTGCTTACCTTTTAAATCCCTTTATCATAAATTCGATTCGCCTGCACAATGAAACATCCGCTCACTTAGAACTTTTATCCATGGTGAGTACACGAACAAAAACTCGGATATCGACAACAAAATATGCTTATTTTCACAATTTTTGTTTTTAGAGCGCCATGGTTGTAGGACATCTGGGGATCAGTTATTTCTGTGCATATGCATTATCCTTAATGGCAGAATCACCGTATATCTTACTAACACGGTTCATCCAATCTTGCAGCAGGAAAAAATGTAAGGGACAGGAGATTATAATCTTGCATACGTAACTGCGATAAAAATACTGTAATATTGTAATTGTAATTAAAACCGAATAAAATTAAATCAAACAACACACAAGAATGGCCAATGCGAGTCTAAGGCAGGACGTAGATAGCCTATACTTGTAATTCATTAAAATGTGAATTCATACACCGTTTCTTTCCACATTTGTCCTGCGCGCCGATTTCTTCTTTCGGACATGACACAGTTTTCTTACAAGTGGAGTTATTATCGTCAGCAAATTCACTTATTCAAAAAATTTAATTAATTTTTAGTCTTATTCTTTTATACCACTTGTGCGAAACCGTATTTCGATTTCGATGGAGTTTGATAAGCTGGGTAATCGCGATAAGTTATGTGGAAGGAATGTTGCGTGTGCTGTTAATTCATTGAAACGCAAGAATACGCACGAATCTAGATTCGTTTTTATTAAGTGGGCGTATTATACATAGCATCCACCAACGGAATTCAGTCAAAATATCTTGTGTCTGGCGCGAAGGATTAGATCAAGAGTTTACAGCTCATTTACAAAACTACAAATTATCAGACGGTCAAGTTCCCCGTGGCGCTATATGTGAACTGGGGAATGTATCCTGGGTGGCGCCGGCGAGGTGACAGATCGATTCGCACGTGAGGCCTGTTCGCGTCTACCTTCCTCCAGTTGCTTTTCGAGCTGCTCTTTCAAGACTAGAAGCTCCCTTGTTCTTTGATAGACGGGATCCTCGAAGCAGACAAAAAACAGGCATTTTAATGGAAATACTCATAAACTATTTAACGTGATAATTCTGTTAAATAATTTCACATACTTGTTGCCGCATACTGGGGTTCCATCTACAATACAGACTTTTCCATGGTTTGATATATCGCATACTAGCAACTGGCATTAGAACGAGCTGATAGTTTGTACCGGATCGATAAAGAGGATTCAGATAAAGAGGTAATTGACTATTGGTATACGACCAGAGCGAGACTGTTCTTTGCTTCACTTGCTCCTGCATTCTCTCGCGTTCACTGTAAATGTAAAAAAAAAACTAATGACACTTTTCTTGTATAATAGGGCTTCGAGTTATCGATTTAGAATAATTTCATCTGCCTAGTTTTTTAGATGTGACCATCGTGCACTCAACTCGACATCCCAAAAAGACACTATGTGTCTCTTTGTCTGCTTTGCAGGCGAGTACACTTGGCATGAGACATTACCATGTCTCTGATTATTAGAGACCGGATCGCAGTTCCGATTTCCCGACTCCCAAGCCTGTGCTAGGGACCAGTGGTATGAGAAACAGTACCGTCCACGCCTGTCAGCCTAGGCCAATGGAGCCAGTGAGATTAATGATTAACACACCACATACTCCACACACTTATGCGTGTGGAAGGAGATGGACTGGCACGCACACGAAAGCGAATCTCATGTCCGCGTAGCTGACCGCTAGCCCGTGCTTGGAGTGGAGAACAGTTCCGCGATCCGGTTTGACCGGTTTCCATTATCAATTCTGAAAGACCCAGTCCATTCCCCTTTTTCTGCCGGGTTATTATGTAACTTGTGTATACACAGAAATGTAAGGCAAATTAAATGTACAAATAATTACCTGCTGAACAAGAACGTTCCGAATCTGCAAGAGTAAAGATGATCGAGAATAGTAATTAAAAAATGTTCGTTGAATTCGAAAGCGTTGGGAAATTGTCGCATTATTTGCCAAACGCAATCGATAAATTGTAAAAATACTGGCGATCTGTCTGCATCGCTGTGGTGTTCATCGCCGTGGCCTATTCTCTAAAAAAAACTATTATTAATTATAAAATTTAACAACAATATCACAGAAACAATTTAAAAGAAGTTCTATGTACCTGTTGAAATTTATGTCCAAAGCTAAGCCACTCTTTTTCTATTAGCACCTCAAATCCTTTTACTGTTCTATAGTACGGATCTAACATTAACATTGCGAGAGCTGTAAGCTAAAACAGATGTGTATATATATATATACATTTATACATATACATATATAGGGGTGTCTGATAAGTTGCTGATCAACCGAAATATGTAGGTAGATTAGGGCAAGCTGAAGAGAAAAGTCAGATAACATAATGCAAAATTTGCAATAATTAGAGTTATTAATTATTATGTCTAAGCGAGCCTACCGAACCCGGCCTACAGTCGGAAGTCTGTTTCCGCGCGTTTATTCGCTTAGACGTATTAATTAATAACTCAATAACTATTGCGAATTTTGCATCATGTTATCTGACTTTTCTCTCCAGCTTGTCCTAATTTACCTACATATTTTAGGTGATCAACAAATTATCAGTCACCCTGTATATATATAATAAATATTATAACGTATTGTCTGTCGATTTACACATACTTGTATTATACATACTGAATACTGTATACTTGTTGGTACTAGGAATTGATCAATACAGAATACGAGATTTACATTGTTACAGTGTATTGAATTTTCCTAGCTTAATAAATTTTAGTATTTGGATGTTAAAAATATATTTATTTACATAACTTTATAATTTAAAAAATATACAAGACAAGGATAAATTTTCAATCAATACAATCAACAAAGTATTATATTTTTCGTTCAATCCATTCTCAAAAACATATTTCTTTATCAAAACAATAAGAAAAGCCTCTTAATAATAAAATTAATCAATTAGAATTAAACATTTACCTGCGCTGTTCGATCCCAACCGTCGGAACAGTGAACTAGAACTGAAGTCTTGTGATTTTCGACTTTGTCCACAATTCTTACAGCTCCAGCGAGAACACATTTGATATGCTTAAGCCACATCGTTGATTCTATGCCCGACAACCATCGGGCCTCATCAATTGTGGGGAAACATAATTCTGAAACAAAAAATATATGTAGATTAAAAGAAAAGAAAAAGGAAAAGTTTATATAATTGCAAGAAATACCTTTTAATTTCCTTAGACTTTCTCTCATGACATGTATATTGTGAATGTCGAGAAAGACCAATTCCGCGTTCTGATAAGCATCTTCGCTTTCGTATCCACCGCCTTTCGCTTTGTTCGCTATCGCGTTTGGCATCGGCCGTGCATCCATAATAAAGAGTTTATGACTTTGTGCGTTAGCGTCCATTATCAGCTGAACATATCTCTCGTCCTCGCGACTTCGTTTGCCCCCGACACCTACTAGCGGCTGAGCGCAACGAGTTATTGTCGCTTGGCTTTCCGGATGAATCCACGAGAGGACTGGAAGTCTGCCTCTACTCCTAAAAGATGCGGACGCTTGGAGATCCTCGTCGGTCGCTGCGGCAGGTACTGCCCAGACAGCTGGATAACTGTCGCAGAGCGAATATGTATCGTTGATTTTGGATATTTTCCACATATCGTTATTTACACCCTGAAATTCAGTCATATCAAATTTTAAATCGTTACACTGTCACGTTGAAGTATTTTCTAACTTTAAACATCAGATGTTTCTTGATACATACCATCCTCTTTAATTCGGCAATAGGCTCGTAAACGTTCCAACCATTTTCAGAAAAGGTCTCAGAGTATTCAAAGGCAAAGAGAGGTAACTTGTGAGATAATGGAAAAGAATACTGTTGCAGTTTTTCAAATACATCTCGTCTGGAATGATTCTCCTGCTTATGAGCAAATCTGAGATTCCTCATATCTTTACAAAACACCTCGATACCATAAGAATTCTCTCCTCTGCTCGACGCGCCGCCAACTTTTTCGATCCGACTAACGACCCCCAACGGCACTTCAACAACGTAAGGCGTTTCTCGATCTACACTACGAAAATGAAGCTTGTAGTTCGTAACACTAAGGATCCCTCTAGCAGGCCCCGAGTAAGGACACAAATAGGTAACTTCGTGCGCAATGCCTTGCACCCGTTCTCCATTCAACAGCGGTGGTCCCGTATCTCCTCCAGACAAATTCTAATCAAAACAGTCGTATAAATAACCGGCTAAAAATATTGTCCAATAATAAAATAACTTTACGATAAACAGAAAGCTTTCTAATTGTCTACAACTTCAACAGAATAAACGGCAATGGCAATAAATGTGCTGCAAAAGTAAAAGTGAAATAATAGGAAAATGTCTTACACAACAGAATTGATATTTCAACGAAAATGCATGTATCATTTCTCAGTGATTGTTATTGAATATTTGTACCAAGGAAAAATGCCACAACTGTGTCAAGAAAAATAAAAACTGTGCTGTGCTCAAGCATTCGCTACAAACTCACTTTTACTTGATTATCTTTTTTAGCCTCTAGAGCAGAGACTATGTTATTATCTGTTGAAGTGGAGCTTGAAGAAAAACTTTTTGAATGTGAAGCTTTTTCCCAACTCTCCTAAAGAAATTTATAGATTCACTCGAGATGAACAGTGTAATGTGCCATTGAATCAATCTTAATGAGGTAATTTCTGCTTCATACCGATTCCTGACCCATTTTCGAATTAAGGGAACTGCTCTTGCTGTCCGAGTTGAGAGAATCTGAACTGGCATTCTTCGAATTGCTTTGTTCTGCACCGAGGAGTTCCGCACTGCCCCTCTTTTCCATACTTGTATTAAAGATAATCCCAAATTGTTCTACTTTCGTTGCGACGACATTCTCCTTTTCAGCTTCATTTATTGCTATCTATGAATGTATAAACTGTTCGCACCTGCACACAATCAATTATAATGTAAGATATGTGACAATTTAAAAAGTGCATATATATATATAATTACTGAGAGTTTAAATTGATACTTAATCTTAAAGAACTCGAGTTATGGAATCAAAATACTGGATTAATTCATAAATAAGTTCTATTTCACCTTAAATTTTTTAATCTTTAAAAAATATTACAATAAATTTGAATTTGTTATATACTTTTGCCTTTTAGTACCTATTCGCAACAGATAAAACAATCGCATACAATAGGCAATACTAATTTCTCAAAAGAAATGATTCAGTAATTAACTATAAGCGAAACTTACTTACGAATCAACCCAATAACGCGCTCTCTGAGTATTATTATTAATAAAAATGCTCTGCAACGATGTGTCTTTAATAAACCATGTAAGTCTGCGAGGCATGGCAGAAGGAGCGAAGA